TGTGGGGGGCCCCAGGCTCAACCACCTCTATAAAGGTTAGGCTGTGAGGCAGGGAAGGAGTAGTGGTAGCATCGGGGTCCTCAGGAGCAGAGCGTTGGGGTCCTTGGGAGCAGCATCATGGGGGAGGGGTCCTTGGGAGCAGCATTGTGGGGGGGGGGTCGTTGGGAGCAGCATCCTTGGGAGCGTGGGGATCGCTGGGAGCATCGGGATCGTAGGGGTCATCGGGATCATTGGGGTCATCCGGAGCAGCATCGTTGGGAGCATCGGGATTGTCAGGGTAGTCGTCTGGAGTGTCATGAGCCCTGCCAGGGAGCAGCACTGCTGGGTGGGGGTGGGGTACCTCGGGTAGGAGGAGTCCTCGGGTAGGGGGAGTAGTCTGGGTTGGTGTCCTGGTCGTCTTCGCCCCTTTGTAAGAGAGGACCCTGACTGGTTGGTTTGATTTTCAATGCTTGGCGTGAAATAAAGCTTTGCTTGACTTTCGCTTTGTGTCAGTCTCGTTCCTTTGATCATGGACCCTAACAGTCAACATTTCTCAAATACCTAATTCATGTCATTTAATTCATTTTAGTATATTCTTTTTTAATGTTCCCTTTTAAATTCCCTTTTAAAATTCTATTATGCTACCTGTAGACTGATTGAAAAAGAGAAGTAAAATGTGTTTGTTGGTGAAACAGAATAGGAAGTAAGGAAGAGACTAGTGAACGTTAAGTGGAAGGCCTGTCTGTCAGGCTGTGCTTTACAGTTGCCCATGAACAGTTTGGAATCTTCCATAAAACTTGTTTCGGAAACCTGGCTGTCCTCTGCCAGGAAAGTAGTGTGCCCCAAAGCTCGTTTCTTGGGGAATGTTGTCCCACCACTGCACGATACATTGGGAAATGTTTCATAGAGCATAAACTTCTTTTGGACTTTCAGATGCATACATATATTTTAAAGACTCTGAGAAGTTCTGTAGTAAGCCTGTTTAACTTTGGAACAATTTTCCATGACTTTTCGTATTTTCCATGGAACACAGCTCTGACCAAGGAGGCACGGGATGCTGCCATCAGTCTATTCGATTATCTGTTTTCTGCTCGTGACGTATCAGTTTGACCATGCTGGGTTTGGTACAACTGTCAATCAAGATTCTGTAGGGCTAAGATGATCAAACTAGGATACAAACTGGATTCATGGTACAAATTTATGGAAAAAGTGAATGAATAAGCTTTTCATAAAGCCCAATTTATTCAATTTGAAGGACTGACATTTATTCTGAATCCTTCCATGTTTTATTTAACTTTTTAAAAGATTTTATTTATTTATTTGTCAGAGAGAGAGAGAGACAGGCAGGAGGAGCGGCAGGCAGAGGGAGAAGCAGACTCCTCACTGAGCAGGAATCCCAATGTGGGACTCAATCCCAGGACTCTGGGATCATAACCTGGGTCAAAGGCAGAGATTTTAACCAACTGAGCCATCCAGGCACCCCTCCTTCCACACTGTAAAGTGAAATGTTGGTGATAGATTTTAGTTGACTCAGCTATGAGCTTCCTCACAAGTCTTAATCTCCATCATGGCATGGATAATATCTGTTTTTTGCTCACAATTCTAAGGCCAACACTCTAGTGCAGAGCCTGGCTCCAAAGAGGCTTTCAATAAAATTTGTGAAATAAATAGTAGTTGCTCTGATTAGTGCTCTATTTGACAAAATGTATCGTCAGCAACCCTATGTTGGTCTGTTTCTAACTCGAAACTGCTGGAATCACTGAACTAGGTGAAAAGTCAAGTTTGCTAAAATGTCTCTATGGCCGCAAAGACAGTTCTTCTACAATGTTGTCATTGGGAGGCAGCTACCCCAGTAAGCGTTGCACATCCAGCCCCTTTTGCATTCCTGCGAGGCCCTGTAGCTAATTTTAATTGACAGAGTGAATCCAGAAATGATATATGTCACTTCTAGGTCAGGTCTCTCTCCCTCAGCAAGGTGAGTGCACGGGGCCATGATCTAGGGATGATGGAATCACAGGATCTTGGGGAACTGAATCACCTTAAGAAGGAAAGTTGGTTACCAAATGAATCACACACATTGAACTATTAATAAACATGAAGTAAACTTTTTTGTGTTAAACCACTCATATTTGGTATTTGTTGTAGAACCTAGTGCTAGCTAACATCAATGTAGTGATCCACACAAATATCCTTTCAGAGGTATAGACTAGAAGCCTATCACCAAAAGGTTAAAATTGGTCTTCTCTCGGTAATAGGATTAATGGGTTTTGTTACTTACGTTTTCAAAGTTACTGTATTTTCCAGATTCCCTACGGTGAATAGGCATGACTACGCATTAGGTTTATAATCGAGGGAAGAACACAAATAATGTATAATATGTTTGAATGATTCCAAACTCGAAGGCCTCTTGTTCTTTTGTTATGGGGATCCTTCTTCACTCCCTGGGTTCTTCAAGCCCTTTCTTCGTTCTGGACCTCCAAACTGGGCATATGCCCATCTCTAGTCAGAACTGACAAACTGAGAAATAATCTCCCAGAGGCATCTGAGGAATATTCACAACCCAAGTTCTCTTTATGCCTCTCCAAAATGGTGGGTACTACCTAGGGGAGAAAGACCGCTTGGGTCATTGTACCATAGGTGGATCCTTCATTATTTCATTCATATTTGTAGCTTTTTATTCTGAAATAATTACAAACCTAAAAAGAATAAATTTTTAGAAACCTTTCACCCTGAGCCCTCAAAGTGCCATATTTAAATTATCATCTCTCCCTGTAGATAGATGATGGATAATAGATAGATAGATAAATAGATAGATAGATATAGATGGATGGATGGATGGATGGATGGATGGATGGATGGATATACACATAGATGATAGATATTGTTAGATGGATGGATGGATAGGTAGATACATAGAATTGGGAACCATCTGAAAATAATTTAAACAAAAAGTTGAAGACAGCTGGCACTATTCATCAAAATTCAGTTTATAATTATTAACTCAAAATTCTTGAAAAAGATAATTATTAATTCTGCGATTATACTTAGAGTAATTTATTGTAAGGAAATACTTATAATCACAACAATGTTTATCATACTAAAAAACAGGAGATGGCTTCTGTATCCAACAATAAATTTGGGTGAACAAATTGTACAGTACAATTAGGTACAATGCAATTACCATGCTTCCCTATGTCCTTCTGTTTACCACTCATCGTTGGCCTCCATAGCCATTAAGATGAAGTTCAAAGGTCTTAATAGGTTTCCATCCGTGGACTGCATCTCTCTTATCACCACTAGGACTCTCTTGATCCTGCCAGAGACTCCTTCAGAGACAGTGATCATCCAAGATACCCCTGAACTTCATCCAGCTTTGATGAATATTGGTGTCATCACCTACATGTTTCCTACACTTCCTGCATTAAGGATCACAGCAGGGACCATCTGACCTGGAGACTCTGATCTGCCTTTGGTCTCAGGAAATCCTGCTAGCCTAGGAAACAGGTCATGCAACATGACCGAGGGCAGAGTAGAAAGCCTGGGCTCTTCAGGAAGGTCTACTCACTGTAAGAGAAAACTAACTTAGAATATAATCAGAATCCTACCGGATTTTCAACAGATAACCTATCCTAATTTCAAATATAGAGTCAATGCCTCACAATTATACATTCATAAGAATTCCTAAGAGAAGAAGAATGTCAGCTTTATTCTTAGTAACATCAACTGAAAAAGGAGATTCCCGGAATCCACCAATGCAAACTTCTAAAATTCCTGTATCCCTTTCTAGCCTGTATACTCATCTTCCTCACAAAGAACAATGAAAACAAATATATTATTCCATAATTTCCAAAGGAAATCGCTTTACTTTGACATCTCAAATTCAGACAGTCTGAAGTAAAAATAAACATGAAGTCTCAACTGGGAAGTGTTTGGGATTATCGTGTTTCTTATACAAATATTTAGATGGAAAATCATAGAATTTGATATACCAGTTATGAAATAAAAACAAGTAAAGTTAACCATGAAATACGCCTCATAAATATTACACACATTTCACTAGGTGGATAAATTCTGAGAACCATGAAGGAAACCCTCCAAAATACAGTATTTACTTAAAAGACGATAGTTTGTATTGAAGACACTGCAAGAGAGAAAGGGCTTACAAATGGAATAAAAAAATGCAACATTCTTAATCCATTTGACTGGACACATCAGTATGGAATCTCTTACTTCCCTCAAGGAGTGTACAAGATACCACACAAACATTTAATTTTATTTAGTTTATTAATATGATCCAAACAGACTTAGCTTAAGAAATGAGGAAAGGACATACAATGATATTTGGCTGAACTACACAAAGGGAACCTAAAAAGTGACATGATTTTCCACTGGCAACGACTTTACTAAGGAAAGTTAGTTTATTAACTAATATAAAAATAAATCTACCATAGCAACTATGACTCAAATTGAGCCAGGATGCCTCACCCATGACACCCAACCTGGTCAGTGAGGTCCTACAGGGACCTCACACCCTCCTAGGCTGGCTCTAATTACTGGGCCTTTGACCTGGAACCTCATGAAGGACCTCTCACAGCGTAGGGTCTGCAGCCAGCTATGTTTTCTCCTCAGCCTACAACCATTATATACCATTTCTGTGTTTCCCGTAGCTTCTTTCTTTTTAGAGGGTAACAGAGCTCAAGAAAAAAACTCACCTGGCCAATGCTGGGTGGGGAAGGAAAAAGAAATTATTTTAAGATGGGTTTGGGGTAGTTTGGGAGTACTAGTAGACCCAGATAAACCGAGAAGCTAGAATGGGTATCACTGAAATGCACTGAGGTCAGAGGCCCATCAGTTTTTCACAGAAAGGGCAGAGCTGGATCAACACTGAAGGAAAGAAAGGACCATTGTTACACTGGGGAAGTCACACCCAAAGAACAATAAAGAGGACGAAACGTGGAACAGAACGTACTTTCTTTTACATTTTTAAGATGAAAGCATTTTAAGATTAAGATTCCTTTTAAGAAAGGAATCTGGAAGCCAAATCACCAAAGAAAAAGTGAAATAATGATAATGAGTCTTTAAATAAAATGAAACATGGAAGGAAATAAAGAACTCTTTCCCTTCCACCTGACTTTGTCCAAATTGTTAAAAAGGTCGTGTTAAGTCAGTCTAGTTTTGCTTTATTGGCAGCAGATACATGTGATCGGACACATCGGAGCAAAAGGAGAGAACCCAGTCAACATCTCTCAGGTAGACGGGGAAGGATGGACGCAGAGAGGAAGGGAGTGTGTGACTGGAAGTTCTCCACACGCCTCATGCTCTCTCTTCGTGCCCACAGTGTCTTTAACCCACACGCTCGGATCACAGGAAACATCGTCCCCAGGCACAGAATGATGACCATAAGCGTGTGCTGCGCAGCAAGCTACCGAGTGCCATGAAGCCCACGAGAAGCTCAAAAGAGCGATTTCTGTGCACGGAAGAGGAAGAGGCTCCACACACCAAAGGCTCTGCTTTATACGGTCTTTCCACGTGGGGAGGTAACGCTGTCATCCCTTGAATCTGAAAAACCAAACAGTAGACAATGCCAGTGACGGAAGAGGTCTTGCTCAGCTCCCCCACTTGGGCAGGGTGAAAGCGGTGGGTGGAAGTGGGTTGCCCAAGGAGTCATCCATCAGGGGACTCGGAGCCTTAGGGATGGGGAGGGGGGCGGGGCAGAGAGCCACATACGCCTTTGGGAAGGAGAGATACAAACTCAGCTCTGTTGCTTTTTGAAGCTCTCATCCCATCCTATTCCTGCTTCATTCCAACCTTAGTTGATCAGTCAATCTCCCTCTTTGTAGAGGGTAAAATCAGAACTTCTCAGTCAACCCAAGCAGTGACTGAACAAATAAATTATCAGACATATCAAAAGACAACTGAAACACTGGATTTATGGATATTTGTCTGTTCCTTAGATTTTACCTGTTGGGGATTAGGTAAAATGTGACATCTAGTTTTTTCAAAGATGAAAACAAAGTAGGGCTTACCGACCACTCTGCATTGTCTGTCTTGGAGCATCTCACGTTCACCGGCAAGCTAAGGACAAGCTTGTTGAAGGAAAGACCTTCCTTTTTAGCCCATTTAAACTTATTCATTGCATCCATGAAAGAAAGGTTTTTATACTGCTTGGGGCTTTTGATAATGAAAGGCCAGGTCCTGAATTTAAAATAACCACAATTAGTTATATTCAGAACAAAAGCATTACATGTCTCCCTTATTTTTCAACATTCTAAGATAGACCTCATACTTGTCCATTTTACACACACAGAAAACCTAATACAAAGGATTGATTGATTCATCAGCAATTCCAGAAGATATACAGGGACTAAGGAGTCTTTGGAAAAAAATGAAATTCCTTATTTTAGTAGCAGATGGGTACTACTCTAGACAAATAATTTTGACCCAGAAAGCTTCCCCCAGCCTCACAATCCTTTGCTTATTTGTTTTGGCTCTCCTTAACAACAATATGCCTGGTACATGTTCCGTTGCACAGAATTTAACGCTAATGGTGTAATAAAGAAATGTTACTGTAAGACATGGAAATTTCAGTTCCATAGAGTTGAAAAGCCTGACCCCTATGGGCTGCCCTGTTTTGACTTGCTTAAGTCATAATAAATTTTAAAAAATATGAAACTGAACCAGGATTTTTCAAATTTTACTGAGAAAAAAAAAAAAACTCTGCTGAAGATAAACTCTTGCTTCCACTTGCTATTTAAAAAACAAAACAAAACAAAACACATTAATGGCCAAGAAAGAAAGAAGAAATCACAGAAGAATAACACAGTCTGCTTGAAAAGTTACTCCTCCAGTGATATTTTTCATGTAAGTTTTATGTTATTGATTCCTGAAAAAAGAAAAACTGTTAGTGTTGGCCGACCACAAAGATTTACATGAACTAGTCTGTGAGTCTTCCCAGAGATTGTCATGGGTCACCAGCAGGTATTTGATACCCATAACAACCCAAGAAGATGGTCCAGGAATTACTGATTGATTAACCTCCCCCTAAGGAATTTACACTTACCATATTTGATCTTCAAAATTTCTTTTTAAAAAATATTTATGTATTTGAGAGAGTGAGCGAGCACGTGAGCAAGTGGGGGTTGCGGGGAGAGAAGGGGGAGAGGGACAGCATGTTCCTAACTGAGTAGGGAGCCAAATGCAGGGCTTGATCCCAACACCCTAAGATCATGACCTGAGCCAAAACCAAGAATCCATGGCTTAACAGACTGAACCACCCAGGTGCTCCTACAGTGTCTTTTTAAATCCGTGGAAAGCTACAGGTAGGTTTTCTTAAAAGTCTTAAAATCAAATATTAAAAATAAAATTTGCTTTTCAAAGAGATAAGGTGTACATCTTTTAAAAAAGAAAATTAGGGGCGCCTGGGTGGCTCAGTGGGTTAAGCCTCTGCTTTTGGCTCAGGTCATGATCTCAGGATCCTGAGATCGAACCCCGCATTGGGCTCTCTGCTCAGCAGGGAGCCTGCTTCCTCCTCTCTCTCTCTCTCTCTCTCTCTGCCAACTTGTGATCTCTCTCTGTCAAATAAATAAATCTTTAAAAAAGAAAAAGAAAATCAGTTTCATAACCAATGAGAAACCCCTGAAGGAAATCACCAGCCTGTAACCCCCAGAAACACCACAAGGTGGCACTAGAATCCGTACTAAAGCGCTAAGGGAACACCCTCAATGCGTTTTCCACAGCCTTGCTGGAGAGAGCGAATAGTGTATTGTTGTACATAGATGAAATATTTTAAAAAGTTTTGCTGCTTAAATAAATCAGTAAACTAGTACTTTTCTTTTTGAGATTTCACAGCGTAAATAACAGAAGTAATATAAACACTTGTAAATTTACTGTAAGTGTATGGAAAAGGATGTAGAAAATATTCACATGTTCAGAAACAGCCTGACTAGGGCTGGTGACAGGGGCTGGTGATCCTCTCTTAGATGGAAGCTGGACTCATACTTATTGTCTCCTCTGCATTCCTGCTGCCTTTGTCCAGACCTCTATCTGTAATGACATCACACCAACAAACCTCCTACCCCTTCCAGCCTATCCTATACCACATTTCCGGATTACTCCTGGAGAAAAGGGAATGGAGAGGCGGAAAGTGAAATCCTAAAGAGGTAAATATTTACCCTGTGTATTTTTCCTTTAAACAGTAAGCTTTAAGCTAGAAACAGATAACCTTGAAGTAGCAAGTCCTGCTCTCATGGGGACTCAGAGTTGGTTAGGAATACTGGGAATAGTTTAGAAATTAAAACAGTTTCATTTCTTTACATCTGAGCAGTGTGTAAATGTCTACTCAGATGCAAATATAAATAAGAAGGTATTATTTACGTATCACCATAGTTGATAAAAACAAACTACATTAACATCATGATTTAATATTGGTGAGCAATTTCCCTTTGTAAATTCAATCTAACTGACAAGTTCATTTAAGAATATATAGGTAAGTGAAATGAACTTAGACTACCCGAAATAATTTTGGGAAAAGAAACAAATGACAAAGTTTTGGCATTTACATGGTCTTATTTCAAGACTTATTATAAAACTATGATAACAGAGTGTGACATTAGAGTAAGGCTAAGCATGAACATCAGCAAGACAGAATTCAGAGTCCAGAAATAGTATATGATCCAATTACTTTCAATAAACATTTCAGGGTAATTCAATGGGAAAAAGGTACTGTAAACCTTGGGTGGGGGGGGACAGGAAAAATCTTCATAACCTTGGGTAGGCAAAGACTTCCTATACAGGATGTCCAAAGTAAAAACAAATAAAAAATGATAAAACGGGTTTCAAAAAGATACTGTTAAAAATGGAAATGAAAATCTTCACAGACTAGGAGAAATTAGTCGTAAAAATATATCTGACAAACAGCTTATATCTGAAATATAAAGAACTCTTTAAAAATATAAAGAACTCTTACAACACAATAATAAGAAGATGAGTAACCCAACAATGCACAAAAATTTGAACAACTAAAAAGGAACATATATAAATGACCAATAAGCATGTGAAAAGAGAATCAACATTGTTAGTCATAAGAGAAATGGAAAATAAAACCACAATAAGATACCATTCCATACACTTAAGTAAAATTTAGGAGCTCTTATACATTACTGGTAAGAATGTAAAAAGAAGCATCATTTTGGAAAGTACTCTGAGAGTCGTATGAGGTAAACAAATCCAGTGATTCCAGCAGTCCATGCTAGCCCAGAAAACGGAAAACATGTCTGTACAGAGACGAATACAACACTGTTCATAGCAGCTTCCTTCGTGATCGCTAGAGACTGGACACAATCCAAATATCTTTCAACTAGTGATAAATAGAGGAAGAGATGAACACAAGGGAATACGACTCAATGATAAAAAGGAGTGGACGGCTGATACACCAGCAGAGATGAATCTCAAAAACATTCTGAATCAAAGAAGCCAGGCACAAAGGAGTACATACTGTAGGATCCCATTTTTATAAAACCTAGAAAAGATCGGACTAATGTAGCGCTAGAAAGCGGACTGGCAGCTTCCCAGGGCTTCGTGTGGGAGGTGGGATTGTCTCCAGAGAGCTGAAGGGAACTTGTGGGGGTGATGAAAATGTTCTGTAACTTTTCCGTGGTGGGGGTAAGTAGGTATACGCATCTGAGAGTGAGTGCATTTTGTCATAGGTAAGTTCTACCTTAAAGATTTGACTTAAAAAAAAAATAGTAAAACAGAAATAAAAACATACCAACAAGCCAATGGGCAAAAAAAGACAGCATCATGTCATACACTTTATAATCTAATTGTTGAAGAAGAAAGCCAGGAAATCTGACCTAACAAGGTATAACTCCTAATCCTTTCGACACTCCAAGACTAGAGGAATGTTGGGAAGCCCCCAGTAAAGTTGTCTCACTGATGGAAGAGAAACTTCTGGGTCACAACAGATTTAACCATATGATGTAAAGCCTCGGACATTCCCCTCTGGAAAGGGACTTGGTCCCAACCAATTAGAAAACTTCCTTGGGGGCAAGGGGGAGGCAGGGAACATCTGGCTGGCTTGGTCGGTGGAACATGTGATTCCTCATCTTTGGGTTGAGTCTGAGCCCCAGGTTGAGTACTTAAAGGTTGAGCCCAGGTAGAGAGTACTTAAAAATAAAATCTTTAAAGGGGCACCTGGGTGCCACCCTAGGTTGAGGTCCGACTCTTGGTTTCAGTTCAAGTCACGATCTCAGGGTCGTGAAATCAAGCCCTGCATCAGGCTCTGTATTCAGTACAGAGTCTGCTTAAGACTCTCTCTCCCTCTCCCACTGCCACTCCCCCTGCCCACTCTCTCTCTCTAAAATAAATAAATCCTTTAAAAAAAATCTTAAAGAAAGAGAACTTCCTCAGTAGATTTTCTTAAGAATATCTGAGAAAGGAATAACCCATCCTCTGTAATCCCAGAGTATATAGTCCCACCTCTATATGTCTATCCCCACAGCCCTTTACCCCAAAATATGGTAAAGTGTGTACATAAAATATGTCAGCCAAACCTCAAACTGTGGTGTGCAGAGACAGAGGGCTACTGTCAGATTTTCTTAGAAGGTAGACAAGAATTAACCCATATTTTATCAGATCAAAGAGCCGTTTTAGACAGAATTAACTCAGCATAAGCAAGAAATGACATAACAAGCCTGCAAACATAGAGAAAGAAGAAATTATATCATGTTTCATGAAAAGAGACAGAAAAGGCTGACTCTAGAAGAAAATATAAACCGGTTATACCGAAGAGAATTCCCACAAGTGTTTCATATACTAAGTTTATTTAATAAGAGCATGCATTTAATTAAACAAGAGCTCACATACAAAAATTTAAAACAACAGAATGAGATGAAAAGGGAAATAGCAGACCAATGGAAATAAATTTAGGCTAAAATAAATTTAGCACCAAATAAATTAGAAAAAAGCAAGAAGCAGAAGAACCCTCCCAAAAAATTATGAGAAAACACTTGTGAAAAATTCCAAATAGATTAGAAAATACTTTGTAGATATAAGAAAAATTTTCTCCTGAATTGAAAAAACATATATATATGTAATGAAAGAGCACCCTGTGTTTCAGGAAAATTTAATGCAGATGTTGAACACTAAAATATGTTCAGTTTAACTTATGAATTCTACAGGTAGATGAAGAATACTAC